AATCTACCAAAGTTGATGCTAGTATTTACTGCTGTTGCACTGGGGATTTTTCACTAGACTATTTAGTATATACATTCATGTATAAGTCTAGATGCTTTATCAAAAAATTGGCCATCAAAATCCTGGGTTGACTTATCCGCAGAACGATGTAAGCATTATAGTTAACACATATCAAAAAAGGGACCATCCCCTTCTTCGAGTAAAATGGTGAAAAGCAAGTGCTTAGTCCATCCTAGGAGAACCCAAAAGAAGCATTTACTCTTTTTGAATGTCTGGACAGGAAAATGGCAGTGGTTGTGGCCAGGGGCCTTCTAATGTGGTACTGGTGCTTTTCTCTCGCTTGGTGAAATGACCTTTGACTTATCTATGGGTCATATCAAAATTCATAATTTGGTCATCAAATCTGCCCTCGACTTATACACAAAGTCATATTGTACATGAGGATACATGGTATTATTGAAATAAACATTTAATCCTGTCAAACTTGTAAAAGCTTACTTAAATCTTTTGCTATGGCATAACTCCTGCACAATTATTCTATGGTTTTTACTCTCCAAATAATCTAACCTTCCTAAAATGGCTTTGGATTTTTGGTCTACTATTTGTTCATCCGGCCAGCCAAATATACTGTAGTTTGTGGTGAGAAAATGCTTGAGTGAAAGCAGTCCGGCGGCTATTAAGGAGTTTAGTGCTTAGGAGGTGGGTGAAAAATTAGAGGGTTTTTGAAACTGCAGTTTTATTGTGGGGTTTTTTTTTGTACATTTGCTTCATTCAGGAAGCTGAAGTATAGGTCAGGACTGTCTCTTTGTTGGAAGAAGGCAAAAAAGGGATATGGCAGATATTAGTATGAATTGTGGGAAAGATATATGTTGAGACAGGCATGTTGATAACTTGGTTACTGAGCACAGAGGCTGGCAGCTGAATATGTGAATGGTCTTTATGTTCTTGTTGAGCTTATAGGAAACTCATTTGGGGTTTAATATTTATTTATTTATTTATTTGCTTTATTTTTATACCGCATTTTTCAGCCTAATTCGGCGACTCAATGCGGTTTACAATGCAATTTATATAACAATAACAATTAGTTAAAACACAACATACATGACAGACAATACAAGACAAACAACGTGGTCATCAACGCCTCAGTAAAAATCAGATTCCGTTCTCATAATCCTTCTACCATTCCTTTGTTCATTTATACCGTCTTCATGAGTTCAGTTGCCTTGTTGACCGAACGCCTGTTCATAGAGCCACGTCTTGACCTTCCTCCGGAACTCCAGCAACGAAGGGGCCTGCCTGATGTCTGCGGGTAGGGCATTCCATAGCCGAGGGGCCACCACCGAGAAGGCCCTGTCCCTCGTCCCCGCCAGCCGCGCCTGCGACGCAGGCGGGACCGAGAGCAGGGCCTCCCCAGACGATCTTAACGTCCTCATCGGTTCATAGGTGGAGATGCGTTCGGAGAGGTAAGCAGGGCCAGAACCGTTTAGGGCTTTATAGGCTAAAGCCAGCACCTTGAATTGTGCCCGGTAGCGGATTGGCAGCCAGTGGAGCTGGCTCAGCAGAGGAGTGGTGTGCTCCCTGAGTGCCGCTCCCGTTAGTAACCTGGCCGCCGAGCGCTGGACCATCTGAAGCTTCCGGGCAGTCTTCAAGGGCAACCCCACGTAGAGCGCGTTGCAGTAATCAATCCGGGATGTAACCAGAGCGTGGACTACCGTGGCCAAGTCCGACTTCCCAATATGTGACCGTTTTTTTGAAAAGGCAAGTCACTTGAGAGGAAGCGAACCAAAAAGTTGACCTAGAGGAGCTAAAATTTCCTAGAGAAAACATTAAAATAAAATCTGCAGAAGACAAACCCGCAAATGTGAAGGTCTGACTACAGTGGGAAGCATCCATGTGTGAACTGCCTCTTGAGTCACTGGATTAGATTGAGGCATTAGAGTAGACTCCAAATTATGATACCATCGTACAATTTTACATATTAAAAGTAAGGAAGCGCAGTGGGCTAAACCCTTGTGCTGGATGAACTGCTGACCTAAAGGTCAGTGGTCCGAATCCACGAAACGGGGTGAGCTCCCACCTGTTGGCTCCAGCTTCCCACGTGGGGAGAAGCCTCCCACAGGATGGTAACACATCCAGGCATCCCCTGGGCAACATCTCTGCAGACGGCCAATTCTCTCACACCAGAAACGACTTGCAATTTCTCAAGTCGCTTCTGACACAATAAACAAAAATTAAAAGTAGAAAGACATATTCCCAGAAGTAGAAAGATAATAAATAACAACAAATTCACTGATGTGTTGTTGTTTTTAATTGATTTTATGAGATTTTTTTCAACACAGTAAAGGAGTAAAAATATTGCATGCATCCATACATACACAACCAGTATACTGTAATCTTTTCTACTACTCCTTTCTGCAGTTTGATTAGAGCCCATATTTCCATCAAAGTATTACAAAATAAAAGCTGTGGTATGTGAAATAGAAATATTAATAAATGGATACAAAGCCAGGCACTGAAATGAGATCTTAAGTAAATACTAAGACAGCAGAAAACAAAAAGCCCAGCCACTTCAGTTTAAATTACACCACTAAACCTGATTGGAACATGGCCTTCAGTAATCTAAAAACATTTAACATGGATACTCTACATGTAAATCTGACTAGTGAAGATGTAATCGGTGAGATTTTCAGCTTTAGGTTTCAGATCAGTAGGCACCTAATGAATCAAAAACAGGAGGAGAGTCCAGGGACAGACGGTTGCTGTTACTGATGATGCAATGTTGTGATTAAGGAAGAACATGCAATTTGTGAAGGAACCAGTTCACCCTATGATTCAGAGCTGCAGTGTTTCCTGTTAAAAGGGGACATGCTTCTGCTCCAGCCTGTTTTGCAATAAGCCATTAAACTGCCTGAAATACTTCCAAGGACACAGATCATGTACTGATCTCAGAATCTGTAATACCTGGTCAGTCTTGTTCATGAACTTTCCCACACTTCTCAAGCACGAGTGTTTGCGTGACATATTTTTGAAATGGTAGATTCCACTGACCAGTTGACATATAGCATATTTCAAACCATAGTGGCCAACAGTTTTGGTCAAATATACCACAAAGCAAGTCTTGGTTAAGTGACATATTTTCGTGTTAGATACAATGCGTATAAATAGTGCTGGGCTTTCCATGGCTCAGAGCTTTGCTGCTGATTAAGGCTGTAACAAATTTCACATTATGGTGCTTATGAACACTCTGGGCATCCCATCCCATAAACGTATGGAATAAGAAACCTTTCTCTGTGGGGTTTCATGCAAACCTGCTTTAAAATTGTGGTTCTCATGCTTTCTGTTTTTAAGAACAGCTTCCACTCCGGTGTGTCCACAGTAGGTTGCCTGTGAGTAGATTGGCTTATTAGTTGTTATTGTATTAATTTATTGTTTTTAACTATTGTGGCTATTGCTGTTATGTGTTTTATCTGTTGAATTGTTGGCATCGAATTGTGCCGGTTGTAAGCCGCCCTGAGTCCCCCCTCGGGGGTTGAGAAGGGCGGGGTAGAAGTGCCCAAAATAAATAAATAAATGAGTAGTAGTTTGTGCAACCATTTCGTATAGCATCTTTGATAGGCCTGCAAAGGGGTCTTGCTACCCAGAGTATTAGAGGGCACTTAGAATAACAGCAGTGCTTCCCTTACACTGCCCACAGATTTCAGAAGAAGTTCATGCCCAACAGAGAAGTTTCAGGGAAGCCTGTATGAGAATCCCTGGTTTTAACATAGAGACCTTCCAGATGGGGCTGAGCTGCATCTCCCAGCATTCCTCTTTGAAGGCTATGCTAAGACTATTGACATTTGCAATAGTCAATATCTGGAAGGAAAAAGGAAGAGGGGCTGACCAAGGGCAAGATGGATGGATGGCATCCTTGAAGTGACTGGATTGACCTTGAACGAGCTGGGGGTGGTGATGGCCGACAGGGAGCTCTGGCGTGGGCTGATCCATGAGGTCACAAAGAGTCAGAAATGACTGAACGAATGAACAACAAAACAATATCTGGAAGGCTGTGTGATTCTTATTCCTACTTCACGATGACATAATGTGAAAAAAAATGAAGATTGTGTGAGGCTGCTTTGTTCTGATTGATTTGAATGCAATATTCCTGCTTCTTGGCAGGGGGTTGGACTGGATGGCCCATGAGGTCTCTTCCAACACTTTTTGATTTTATGATTCTATGATCCTGGAACAATTCTTTGATGATTCCCCTCGATGCCCTCATTGAAAATAGGCATATTCTAGAAGAGCAAGTATGGTGCAGAAGTTAAGAGTTTAGGACTTGACTTGAGGAGTTCCAGCTTCCAACGGAGCCATGAAAGTCAGAATGACCCTTGGTTAGTTACTTTCAGTCCAACTTACCTCACTGGGTAAAGTGGAGCAGGCAAACAGAGCCATAAGGCTGCTTTGAGCTCACTGGAGAAAAGGAAGGTGATACAAATGTCACCAAATAAAATAAACTGGATCAAAAATAGCACAGGAAGTGAAAAAGTTAGTCTATTCTTATAATATTAACAGAGAGTGTGGTAGTTAGAATTCTTCTGCTATTGTCTCTTTAACTTAACTCTAGGTATCAATATTGGAAGGGCATGTCTGTTTGCTAAACTAAATAATCTTGTGTTCTGACTTTGAATTAAGGGTATTTTGTAATATAGAAACTTCATCAGTGAACACAACTATCTACTGGTTGAAAATATTTTTTAAAACAATACAAAAGGAAGCCTTTTATGTAAGGGTTCCAGTGCATATATTGAGAGATGAGTATCCATAGATTTTGGTATCCACAGTGCGTGTGTCTTGGAATCAAATGCTAGTGGATACCAATCGCCTACTGTACAAGTACTTTTTAACACAGTGCATTTGGCTGTTTACTCTAGACGAGCATTTTTTCTTATATTCTGTTATTGTACTTGCAAAAAATATACTTAATTTTCACTGTCATCTCTCCCCCCCCCCCCCCCCAGGTGGTTTTGCTTTTGTTTATGAAGCTCAGGATCTTGGAAGTGGCAAAGATTACGCTTTAAAGGTAAATCTTTTTCTGTTTTGTGAATTTTGATTCATGTCTTTTCATTATTGACTTGATTTAATAGTAATGCAGTGGGTAACCAGCAGCAAAAACTTTGTCAAAAATCTAATTTGTTCCATTTGTCAAGAAATACCTGTGCCTTTTTTTGTTCTAAGATATCTACAGAAATAATGCTTGTGGCTATATTTTATTGTTAAAGATGTCACTGTAAGTTAGTGTTGGCCAGCGTTTTCCAGTCAATTGCTGTCTGTGTACGTTGGACTTAAAACTAGGAAGAGGCCAGACTGGGGAAGACTTCTGTATATAAGGGTTACTCGCAGTTCAAGACTCATTATGATACACAGCATTAGTTTCTGAAAGTCTGTGGAAAAAGATTATTCCCTGTAAGTCACATGTATTTGTTCACAAAATAGCATTTTTGTACAGAAAATAATATTTCTGCACAGAAGATGCTGTTTCTTAGACAAAATAATTATTTTTTTTTACATTAAAATGCATGTACAAACTGCTTGGACTAAATCTTATATATCTATATCTATGTCTATATAAATAATGTTTGTTTGTGGGATTAACATAACTCAAAAACCACTGGACGAATTGACACCAAATTTGGACACAATACATCCATCACGCCAATGAATGACCATAACTCATAAAAACACTGAAAAACACAGCAGAAGGGACTTTAAAAGTCAAAAAACAAAAATTACATTACAATGCATGCGCAAAACCACACACACATATATGCAAACATACATATACATATATACACAAATATACACACACACATATACACACACAAAACACATATACACAGACTGGGCCACAGCAACGCGTGGCAGGGGATGGCTAGTGTGTGTGTGTTGTGTGTGTGTGTGTGTGTATATAATTGTGGTATATTATGGAAAAAAACAGCAACAACATACAATCTGCAAAATTCATCACTCAACATACAAGTATTCTTTTCCCTGTCCCACCCACTCCTCATTCCCACCCATGAACCACCACCCATTACTTCCGACACCACAGCAAATGAAACTAGTATCTAACAAAAATCTATCCTTATCCATACACTAATTAATTCCCTGTTCAGCTATTTCAAAATCTATTTTTGTCTTCTTTTTTAACTGCCCAAAGGCTGTCTCCATTTTCTAGCAAATTCATCCTTATTTCCTTCCCTTATGCCATTGGAGATCTTCCCTATTTGAATATAGAACTGCTTGGAATTTATCTTAAACTATGAGGGATTACCATCAGTCCCAAATTCTTCTCATTAGAATTTCCTGACATTCAAGAAACACATTTTAAACCATTTTTTGGATATTCTTTCTATCTCATATAGTATTTGTATTGAATGTAATATATGAGTATTCAAAATATTTGTGTTAATGCATACTAAGAGATAGATTGGAAGTATGTTTACAGTTTTGAGTTTTTGCAGATTTGATTATTCACAGATTCAATTTTAAAAGTTTTTTTTTTTAAAAAAATGATAATCCCTAGGTCATTCCAAATTATTTTATGGTCAACTTCCTCCAGTCATGCGGGAGGACCTAGAGATTTCTAGAAATAACACCTTTCTCTAAACCGCCTTGAGTCGCCTGTGGACTGAGAAAGGCACTATACAAATAGAGTAAATAAATAAATAAATTCTCCGAATCTTTAGGTCCTCTACAGTCTGTGATTGGCTTCCAGTGAAAATTGACGATACAGTTGTACTGTAAGACCTTGAAAGTCCTTGAGAGGTGTCCTCTCAGCAAAAAAACAACAAAAAAAACCACCACCCCCCAAAACATGTTTATATTCACAATTTTTTACTTTCATGATAGTCCTTATATACCCCACAAAATGCGGAAGGCCGACTTTACATCTTTTGCATTCTGAAAGTCAAGCAGTCAACATACATAAAGATAATTTTGAATCTTTACACTCTTAATATGTTCAGCTGCTGAAGTGATACCAGCTCCCTATTGAGTAACACTAGCCTTTATGGGCTGTACTTATACATTGAGTCCTTCTTTAATGTACCATATGCTGGCCACAGAATGTTCACTATCAGGTGATGTGAAAATGGCAATAAATAACACTACTACCTGGGTTCTTCTGTTCCTTGTGGAGAGAAAAAAGCAGGACAAAAATAAACATAATAATTATTATAATAGTAATATCTGGAATCTAAGAAGTGGTAGATAATGCAAGAGCCTTGATCATAAAGAAGCCTCTGCCTTGGCATGACATTGTTTTCATTGGCATGTGTGGCTTTTGGAAGGAACAGTTTACAGATTAGATCATATATTTTGCTGCTGTCTTAGAGAAGAAAGCAAAGCCTGTACCCCATATGGGGCACTCCTGCTGTAAGGCATTTTCTTCACTAGTACATTACTGGCACACAGAGACATTGTGATTGTGCCATTTGATATTTTATGTTTCTGCAGAGTCATCTGAAGCCATAGCAGAAGGGCAGTGATTAAATGGACGAGAAACCTTCCAAATGAGGCTTCTGTCTTTTTCTTCTTCATCTCCAATTGGCTTCTCTATTCAGAGCAACCCAGAACAGCCGTTAAGCCTTTGTCGTGGCTGTTTCACAGATTGTTTTGTATAAATTGCAAGCTGTTAAACCTTTACCAGACCATTCCTGAACGCTGAACAATAGACTGCATTTGGATGCCCCTAGGGCTTGGTGTCAGAATTTATTTACAAACATGAGAAATAATGGCCTTGAAACAAAATAATAATAATAATAATAATTAATAAATAACAAATAATGATAATAATAACAACAACAAAGTATGGATCGTTGATGTCGCAATCCTAGGTGACAGCAGGATTGCAGAGAAACTGGAAAAGCTGACACTATATGAGGATTTAAAAATCGAACTGCAAAGACTCTGGCACAAACCAGTCAAGGTGGTCCCAGTGGTGATCGGCACACTGGGTGCAGTGCTTAAAGACCTTGGCTTGCACTTAAACACAATCAGCGCTGACAAAATTACCATCTGCCAGCTGCAGAAGGCCACCTCACTGGGATCTGCACACATTATTTGCCAATACATCACATAGTCCTAGACACTTGGGAAGTGTTCGACGTGTGATCCAATTCAACAGCCAGCAGAGTGTCTGTTGTGGACTCATCTTGTTGTGTTTCAAATAATAATAATAATAATAATAATAATAATAATAATAATAATAATAATAGTAACAACAACAACAACAATATTTTATTTATATCCTGCCACCATCTCCCCGAAGGCACTTGGGGCAGCTCACAAAAGCACTCCAAAGTGCAGTACCTGTAAAATGCACAATACATAAGCATATGAAATGATGACAATATAAATTTACACAATGACCCTATATAAAACAACACATAAACCCTTGCCAGTTTGATTTAAAATGCCATAAAATTCCATAAAAGTATCCCGATTTGTATCTTCATCAGCTTTGAGAGTCACATTTAGTGAAAACATTAGAACAGTTGTAAGTTCATCAACTTACTGTTAGCATGGGGCTCCAATCGGCCTCTGGCTTACAATAAACTTAAGGAATATACTAGATTTGTTATAGCTCTTAAATGTTGTACCCCCCACAGTAAATAATTGCTTCTAAAATATGGGATTCCAACTTGAGCCTTTTGGAGATATAATTTCACCATTCGGGAAGATATTTATTTATTTAAAAGTTTTCTATACCGATCTTCTCACCTCCAGGAGGGACTCAGATCTGGTTCACAACATGTGTTCATATACAAAATACAGACCACACAATGCATTATCATTACACGTTAAAAACATATTACAATACAACATACAAGATTATTCTCCTCGACCAAAACTGTTGAGGGCATTCCGTTTCTCATGATAGTCAATCCCCACATAAGAAAACGTTTCATAAATCTCATGTGTAAAATGTTGCACAAATTTTTGCATTGTGTAGATGGATAGAGCTGCCAAGAAATGCAAATACTGACTCATCTGTGACCTACAGGCAAACTTTTCTATGTGATGATACCTGAAGCTAGTTTTACTTTGGCCATGGAATCATACAGTTGGAAGAGAACATGAGGACTATGTAGTTCAACTTCCTCCCTTGTAGGAATAAACAACTCAAGAATTCCTGAAATATGGTTATCCAAATTCTTCTGGAAGACTTCCATAGAAAAGTCCTCCACCCTCTGAGGCAGTATTCCACTTTTGAACAGCTCATATAGTTAGAAAGTTTCCATGCCAATTTCAACCTGGAATCCTGACATTGAACAGGTTCTTCACTGGAACTTGCTCTTTGCTTGGATAGCTTTGTGTGAACAGGAAAATGAACCTGACACGGATCAATTAATGCAATGATTCCCAAACTTTGGTCCTCCATAGTTTTGAACTTCAATTCCTAGAAGCCTGATTTGCTTATAACTCCTAGCACTAGGTTTTGGGTCTCATCGTATGGCGTGAGTGGGTTTAACATCTTCTTCACACTTACAAAATCAATCCGTATGAAAATGTGTGGGGTCCTTTCATACTGCACAATTACAGTCGACACTCCATATCCATGGAAAACACAGACCTTGATTTTACTAGAGCATTGTATACAGTGAAACTTCAGCATCCACAGATTTTGGTATCCATGGGAGATCCTGGAACCAAATTCTAGAAGATATAAAGGACTCACTGTATAGTATTATGATATTACTTTACAATGGCAAGATCATATGGTGTGCTGGGTGTTATGGTTTATGAAGTGGTACTTAGAATTTTCTGCCAGAGGGGTCTAGTCCAGGAATTCTGTAGCACATCGTCATGGAGTTAAAAGTGGAATTATTTATTACTCTGCTGTATTCTTGTCATGATTACTGTATATCAAAGTGTCTTTGAAATTAATGTAGCTAATGTGATTGGTTACTTAATTGTTAAAAACCACTTGTTATTCATTGTTCTAACTGTACTTTGTTTTAACCTGTATGGTGTGTGGTCATAGTGTCCGCATTGAGGGGAAAGTGAGCTCTAATTTAAACTAGTGGTTCCCAACCTGTGGTCTGTGGACCACCAGTGGTCCGCAAGAACGAAAATATGGTCCACGGCCTCATCATTACTACACTGTTGCTTTGAAACCACATGGCAGCGGGAGCAAGTGGTCTTGCAAAACCCTCTTATAGTGCCGAGGTAACAGGGATGTTGGGAAGGGAGAGGCTGACTACCCATGAAAGATTACTACTACCACATCAGCTCTAGATTATTAAATATGGTTTTCTGCAGATGAGCAGATGGCAACTACTGAATGACATACATTCTGTATCAGAAACTAGAACTGATGTGGTTTGTCCAATGCAATGTTTTGCATTGGCATCCCAAATAACCAAACTGAATCTAAAGTTGACCAAAAACGGATTCGTTACCCTTTGGATACTAATGTTGGAGAGTGGTCCTTGGTTAAAAAAAAAAAAGGTTGGAAACAACTGATTTAAACAATACGTTCATTTTCTATATTATCTTGATATCATAAGTAACTATAAAGAATTGATTTAAAAGAGGGTTGTTTTTTTTTTGGTATAATGTCTTCGTTTCTCAACAGAGACTGCTGTCTAACGAAGAGGAAAAGAACAAAGCCATCATTCAAGAAGTTTGTTTTATGGTATCCTTTTAGATAGAATATAAAAGCCTTTATCTGCCTTTGGGCAATTAAATCCTGGCTTCATGAATTGGGAGTTTTATGTTTGAATTGTACAGCTCCTTTTCACTGCTTTGCGCCTCTCTTGCCATAAGTGGCAAAACAAACCAAGAAACTAAAGTTAACCATAGCATCATTTAACATCTGAACCAAAGTCTAAAGTAACTAGTTAAAGAAAGTATTACATTATTTGTCATTACTTTTTTCAAAGGCGAAGCTGTAACAAACTGACATTGTACTGTAACGTAGTAGGGAGAATTTAATTCTTTTTGCAGGATAACTATCTTCTCATAGTTATTTATGTCATTACAGGGGTGTGTGGCCTCACAACTTATGTATGATACACATTAAAAGCCATTGGCTTGTAGCAGTTTTGCTTTTTTTAAAAAATAGTCAGAAAGACATCATTTTTTTTCAAACTTTTGAATAATTAAGAAGTAGATTTTTTTAAGTGCAAGTATACTTGCTAAATATGTTGATTCTTTTCAAAATCAGCATAAAATGTTATTATACATTGCAGACTTTAAAATGAAACATTTGCTCGGCAAGTGATAGTCATACTATAAAATCATATTGAGGTGAAGGATTGCAGTTGAAAAATGTCTGGCAGTTTAGCACAATTATTATTATTATTATTATTATTATTATTATTATTAAATGTTTTATTCATTTTCTTGAGCCATGTCCCCTTTTCTCATAGTCTTCTGGGTCTTAGTGGGTTTGATGCACTAGGAATCACGTAAAGTGTACTGTATTGTATAAGTATGGCTGCAAATATGTGTTCCAAATACAGAAACCTTTGAAACTTTAACCATGGCAATCCTCTAGAAAAAGTTATCTGGCCATCCAAATATTGTCCAGTTTTGCTCTGCTGCATCCATAGGAAAAGAAGAATCTGATACTGGGCAAGGGGAATTTCTTCTGCTCACTGAGCTTTGTAGAGGTAAAAATAACTACTTAGATGGACTGTTTATAACTGTTGAACTACAACATCCCAAATCCCGTATCGCTGCTTATGTGATTGTGGGTGTTGGAGTCCAACATATCAGGAGAGCGGTGGATTGGAAAATATATTTTGATTTACTCCAGCAGATCGGCCCAGTCAATTTTTTCTTGGGTGGGGATCAGGAAAATGTTTCTCAAAATTGAAGCTTTTGTTGTTACTAAAGAAAAATGAAAGCATTGATACCACTTTAACCACCATGGCTCAGTGTTGTGGAATCATGGAAGTTTTGCAAGGTCTTTCGCTGTCTCTGTTAAAGAGTGCTGGTGCCTCACCAAACTACGACTTCAAGGATTCTATAATATTGAGCCATGACAATTAAAGTGGGTTTTTTCATGTCAGGAGTGACTTGAGAAACTGTAAGCCGCTTCTGGTGTGAGGGAATTATTGTTTTAACTGTACTTTGTTTAAACCTATATGGATGTTGTTCAGGGATTTTTTACCATATTATGGGAGGCTTCTCTCATTTCCCTGCATGAGAAGCTGGAGCTGACAGATGGGAGCTCACCCTTTCTCGTGGATTTGAACCACCGACCTTTTGTTCAGCAGTCCTGCCGGCACGAGGGTGCCACCGGGGACTCCGCAGTTAAAGTGTTGTCACACTGCATTAATTCTACATTGTTGAAGCACCCAAGGAGTCCCTTCGTACATGTCAATATCACAGGCCATGTTATTATCAGACAGCCCTTTGATCCTGCTTGTACTTTATAACATTCTTTTTCATTCCTTTTTCATTCCCAGCAGTAGAAACAATGTCGTCAAAAAAACACATGTTGTCACAAAGAAATTAATATGAGACACTCTTATTTTCATTGTTGTGCTTTTCTCCCCTGGGATGGGATATTAATTAGGGCTGTTGACTGTAATCGCTGCTTTAATTGCAGATGAAAACTTTCTCTCTAATTAATTGGTATGACCGAGACTTAAGAGCCCACTGCTGTGGAGGTCATGCAGGCCCAACGACTCCTTTCTCCCTGTGCCAAATTGGAAAAGAAGAAACTCTTAAAAGAGTTCTCTTGCAGCTATTTTTTTTGTTGGTTTTGTTTCAAGGGGAGTAAAAAATGTTCTGTTTGAAGACATGCCTTTTCTTCTTCCAAAAAGAACCACAGGCAACTGAAGCTGGTAGCATTTCTTCTTTTGCATTTCCCCCCTGTGGTTCCAGGCCATTGTTTGAGAGCTAGGCAACAGATATTTTGTATATGCAGGAACTGCTAGGATCATTGGAATTCCTGCATAGAAAGCATTGCTTGCAAATATGAGAGTAGCAGGAATTCTGGCAGACTTGAGAATGAGTGCAGAATGAGGTCAAATGATCCATCTTAGCTTTAGCTGAAAAACTTAGAGAATGGGAACTCACACGTTTGTTTTTTGAAGTCTTTTCACACTACCCAGTAGTAGCATTATGATGACAACATTACATGAAATTCTGGGAATTGCAGTTTAAGGAGGGACATTAAAAATTCTTTGCCATAGAGCTCTAGTTCTTCACCAAAGTATGAACCCCAGGATTCCTTGGGATGTTGCTATGGGAGTTAAAGTGGAACCATTGAGTTCCAGAGCTGCAGTGGCACAATGGGTTAAACCCTTGTGCTGGCCTGAATGTCAGCAGTTCAAATCCGCGAGATGGCGTGATCCTATCTGTCAGTTCCAGCTTCCCATGCAGGGACATGAGAGAAGCCTCCCATAGGATGGTAAAACATCAGGGTGTCCCCTGGTCAACGTCCTTGCAGACGGCCAATTCTCTCACACCAGAAGCAGTTTCTCAAGTTGTTACTGAGATGAAAAAAAAAAGAATTGCAATTGCTTACTGTGAAAGAGCTTCAGTATCTTGTCTTCCAAGGAGAAGGAAATCCTGTATTGTTGAGTAGTGCAGGTCCCTTTTCCTTCTGCTAAAATTATCTAGTCTGGGTCTTGGATTGGTCCCTAAGGTGAGTAGACACTGTGCTCTTTCATTCCTTCTACGTATTTTAGAATAGTGACCCACAGTCCATTGTAAGTCCATTCAATTGGACCTGGATTGGGTTTGCCTAGCTGTCGGCTCACCATTCAGCAGTTCATTGAATGGGTCTATTATTTATTTATTTATTTATTTCTTGCACTTATTAACCGCCACTCTCAGCCCTAGGGCGACTCGTGGCGGTGTACAACAACATAAAAAAGACGGTTTACAATAGATCAAGACAGTAACAACATTCTACTACTACATAACAACTACTTATACTAAAAATCCGCTTCGTCGTATCATGGGGTCATAATCAATCTCATAGTCGTAGTCCATTCCGGTCGTCATTTCCAATAACATAGCACTCAGTTGAAGGCCATCTCGAAGAGCCATGTTTTCAGGCCCTTACGAAAGGCCATAAGGGAGGGCGCCTGTCTAACTTCAGCAGGGAGGGAGTTCCAAAGCCGGGGGGCCACCACCGAGAAGGCCCGCTCTCTCGTCCCCGCCAAGCGTGCCTGTGAGGCAGGCGGGACCGAGAGGAGGGCCTCCCCAGATGATCTCAAGGTCCTCGTGGGCTCGTAGGCCGAGATGTGGTCTGCAAGGTATTTTGCGGTCTGCAAGGTCTACTTGAATTAGGACTAACTAGCAGGATACCAAGTGGTATATGTGGGTAGTATCCATGGTATGCAATAAAAAACCATTATTTTGTAGAAGTATGTGGGGGAGGGACATTCCTTTTTTTGGCAATTTACCTAAATCCTTGCTTTTTCTTTCCTCATATGTATGTTTCAACCATTAACTAATAACTTCATATTCACAGGGCAACTGGTGGAATTTTTAAAGAAAGCTGAATCCAAAGGGTCCCTATCCTGTGATACAGTTCTCAAGATATTTTACCAGACATGCAGAGCAGTACAACACATGCACAAACAGAAACCTCCAATCATTCATCGAGATCTAAAGGTATTGAAGCTGAAGTTGGCTTTGAGATTATTCTACACCTTGGATGAGCAACTATAATGATGATGATGATAACAACTTTATTCTTCTATTCTGCCACCATCTCCCCAAAGGGACTTGGGGTGGCTTGCATAGGTACCAAGCCCAGTCAACAAAAATTAAAATATAGCACAGCAAAATACATTGCATCCTAAAAATTAAGACAAGAACCATACAAAACATCATAAAAACATACCAAGAACCAAGGTCAGAGAATTCCAGTGGTCCTGGAGATCCCTCCCCATGACCCCATTTTTATTTCAAAAATAGAGGTCTGTTTTAGGTCTCTTTTTTTAACTATGAAGGAAACTGGATTTTTTCCATGAATTTTTACTTTATGAGTGAATAAATCCATAAGGGATGAGGTTAGAAATGTGGAAGAATGAGTGTATTGTGTGATACACGATGGACACCCAGTAATTAAAGATAGAATATAAAGTTTTCTGCTTCAAAATATTTTTTTGTAAACATAAGTGTTTGTAAGTACCGGCCTTTTAAAAAAAGATGAATGTGTATACTGCTTGTAAACTTAATTTGCTAATCAATTTTTTCCTGCAGATTGAAAATATGCTGATGAGTAACCAAGGGACCATTAAATTATGTGATTTCGGCAGCGCAACAAATGTAGCACATTATCCAGACTACAACTGGACAGCGCAGAAAAGAGCAACCGTTGAAGAAGAGGTGAGAAACTTGATATTTTGTATTTTAATGTATTATTTCCTTTGATTTAAAAAAAAACCCAAATACATTTCTAGCCTTGTGAGATGTAAATCTTAAAATAAAGAGGGGTTGTTTTCCTTTGCCCTATTTAATATTCTCAAACTGAAACTATAATAAAACTGTCCATTAATCTTCATTGCCTGTGCCGATATGGTGCATAATATAGTGTCTTGGTATTTTCACTCTGAGCTAAAGGAAACTAGCATGCTTTGTCTGTTCTGTACTGAAGGGCAAATGTACTTCATGAGAAAGGCATTGAGGTTGTATCCCAAAAGAACCCGAGTTCTGTGTTTCTTTTTCATGATGTATTCTTAGCCAAGCTGCATGTATTGTCCTGCCTTGCATAATTAAGCTTTTGAGAATAGCATTGCCAAAGAACATGAGTATTTTTGGCAAGGATTAATAAAATGGGAAGGTTACACTGAGGTTAGTGAATAGTAGCCAAAAACAGAGCCGTAAAGGACAAATACCTTGAGAAGAGACTACTTTATACTGTTGAAGCTTTTAGGGGGGAAAAATATGGTCCTCTAGATCAGGCATGGTCAGATTTCGGCCTCCAGGTGTTTTGAACTTCAACCCCCACAATTCCTAACAGCCCATCGGAATTGTTGGAGTTGAAGTCCAAAACATCTGGAGGGCCATAGTTTGCCCATGCATTCTCTAGATGTTGCTGATTGCATTCTGTCATCCCTTGAGCTGATAGGACTTGTGAGCTAACAAACATCTGTAGGATCACATATTCCACACCTATATGAAGGATCTTGAAAGGTGCCAGTATGCATCTGAGAAACCATATATGACGTTGGCTAGAAGCCTTTCTTCCACAGATTGATATCATAAAAATGTGTAAATTGATATCATAAAAATTCCTCTTATATGGATTACTCTTCCTCTGGGAATTCAACTATTCTCCAATTTAGATATGTGTTTAGAACAGTCATATAAGCCTTCTCCATTAGTCCAATATTGTGTCTATGTAACACTATGTAACAAAATTTGAATTTTTCCGGTTCCTAGTTTGAAAGTGTTATTTTCTGTTTAATTGTGTGGTACTCACTTTGAAAGTAGTTGTTATGCTTCAGAAATCCCTATGAGGAGTGGCTTAAGGAGCTGGGCATGTTTAGCCTGAAGAAGAGAAGGCTGAGAGGAGATATGATAGCCATGGATAAATATGTGAGAGGAAGCCACAGGGAGGAGGGAGCAAGCTTGTTTTCTGCTTCCTTGGAGACTAGGACGCGGAACAATGGCTTCAAACTACAAGAGAGGAGATTCCATCTGAACATGAGGAAGAACTTCCTGACTGTGAGAGCCGTTCAGCAGTGGAACTCTCTGCCCCAGAGTGTGGTGGAGGCTACTTCTTTGGAAGTGTTTAAACAGAGGCTGGATGGCCATCTGTCAGGGGTGATTTGAATGCAATATTCCTGCTTCTTGGCAGGGGGTTGGACTGGATAGCCCATGAGATCTCTTCCAACTCTTTGATTCTATGATTCTATGAAATCTTATTTTTATGGCTGCCACAAACTATGTGGAATTGGTTGAGACTCGATGAGATATTCATTGAAAAACCATAGCAAAATGTGCTGCAGGATGTCCTGCAAAAACAAAATTTTTGCAGTTTAAAAAACTTTTTCCACGTTTTTGTGATAGAACCAATTAGGAAATGACATTTATAACCCAGGAACAAAAATCGTGTTAAATGGTGTTATTGGTTTATATGGAGTGTCTCAAGTTTTAATTAATGTATTACACTTCTATATTTTTGAACCTGAGCAGTATATAAATATTTATAACCCCACCAAAAAAAAAAAAAAAACTAGGCATGGCTGGTTCAGTAATTTGGAACTGCTTTTGCCACTGAGTGAGTATTCAGAGTACAAGAATGAGCATAATAGTGTGCCCTAAAAACCAAAGTGGGTTGGGAAAATAACCCTCCAAATGATTTGGACAACAGCATCCAGAATTTGTCACCATTTCTTATGCTACAGAGGTCTGATTGGTTAAAGTGTCTGGAGGGTCAAAGTCTCCCAACTCCAACCCAAATGAGGACAAAACTATGAGTGAGCTATCCTTCCCATTTCTTTTCATTTTCTCTTCTCTTGGTTCTTGAAGCCAGTAACTGTAATTTATGACACTTCTGGCTATCTCTGTAACATGGGGATTGCTCTTTAATATTGCTTCATTTACATGTCTAATCATGAAAATAATACTAGAGAGACAAAAGATGTTAAATGTTTTGACTAATGCCAAAACATTTGACATATTTCATGTCTTTAAATCTGGGCAGCTAAATTGTCTAATATGAAAATTATTATAATTATGTACATTATTAATTTGCATTCTGTTCCTGCAAATTAAACACATTAATAATTGTACCCCTCCCAAGCCTTCTACCATTTCTACAGTAACTATTCATCTGAGAAAACTAACAGAGAAAAAAATAGAACCCAATCCCTGTTTAAGGCATTTACCAGATAGCCTTGGCTCATCGTTGCTTCTCAACAAGAGAGGAAACAGGTATATTCTTAGTGTGTTTAATCATAAGCATCATCATCATCATCATCATCATCCCTGCCCTTATTCCAGATAGAATGTTCTCTGTTCCAAAAAACAATCTATAACATCAGTTTTCCAGACAACTACGCCCACCAAATTCAGCAGCTGCACAAGATTAGGTGGGATTAAAGATGCCACAAAAAGGAGTCATTTATGTAATTTAGGCCAAACAGAAAGAACCCACAGCACTAGCTACACCCACCCAATTCATCAGTTTCACAAAATTAGATACAAATGATGCAACAAGCCAAAAATAATCATATAGAATCCGAACTATGTTTAAATGTCCAGCCAGATAACCATGTGCACCAAATTAACCACAAAAACAGCCAAATTTGACAAGGGCTACCTTCTTATATCAATCTTGGGCAAAACAAAAAAATGCCCCAGGACACCAACCTTTTAGGAAGCCATACCCACCAAATTGACACAAAACTATTTACGAGTGATGCAGTACATGGAGAACAACACAATGATAAAATATTTTGAAATACATTTAAATGCTTTTTAGAAAAACCTAGAAGTACAGGCAGTCCTCAAGTTACAAACATACACCTTACAAAAGAATCATAGTAAACAATGGAGGCAGGACAACAGGAAGTGAGAGAAATCTACTCCTTGGAAGGAAAATTCACTCCTGGAAGTGTGACCATGGCGAAAAGGTGTCTCCACTGAAGTTTTATCATCAGTCCTTGTTTCCACAACAAGACAAAATTTGTCAAAATCCAATTCTCACAGAGATAGAAAGTGAGGGGAAATCTTCTGAATAGGGACACAGACAGCAAAACAAATACCACAGTGTTGTTAACTCTTCCCTATGCTATCTATCTATCTATCTATCTATCTATCTATCTATCTATCTATCTATCTATCTATGCTTAAACAACATACCTGTTCCAACTATCTTGTTCTTAACTTGGGGACTGCCTGTCATCTTCAGCCAGCACTTTGACAGCTTTGTTCTTCGAGTGGTCATACAAACCCAAACTGCCTTCCCACTTTTCAGGTTTTTGTCAGTTTGTGTTGGTTCTTTTTTGTGAACTTCAAAACTGAGGGAATGGTAGGTTGTCAGGCTGGGACATGCATGATATGTAGGAGAAGGCAGGATTTCTGTCACTGGGGTCTCTGTGCAAGTGGAAAAACTCATTTGTGTGGGGATACAGATGGCCACTTGAATAACCACAGTTACTGGTAAGCAAGCTGTTCTTGTGGGCTATGATAGCTCTTTAGGCTTTGTCGGTAGTAGGGATTGTCTTATTGTTATAACCTTGATTCCTTCCCACTTGATTTGTTTTGATTTGTTTTGGTTCACTCCTGACACGATAAATAAATATTCCCACTTGATTCCTTTTTGAAAGCAAATAAACAGATCAAATTTAAACTTACTGCCTGCAAATTCCCAGCCCGCAACCTGAAAGAGGAATTCATTGTTACCCACACAGCCAATCTGATAACAGCACCAGCCAGATTGGAACGAATACCAAGAACTGACCTTCACCTTGAAACTCTGGTTTTGGCTTACTAATTGTCTGTGTTTGTTAAGATCTGTCTTTCTGCCTTTCTTTCTTTCTTCTTTCTTTCTTTCTTTCTTTCTGAGTTATGTTTCTAAAGGGGTAATGCAGAATTGCACAGAACTCAAAATTTTAGTGAAATTGAAATGGAAGTTTATATTCTTGTTCGCTTTGCAGGTGTTTATGATCTTTGATATGGAAAGAAATAGCCCTGACTCTCTTACTTTCTGTCTACAGATCACAAGGAACACAACACCCATGTATCGGACTCCTGAAATAATAGATTTATATTCAAATTTTCCAATCGACGAAAAACAGGATATATGGGTATGCATGTTTCTTGTGCAGAGATTCGTCTTTGTAAAATGTCTCTATTGCCCACTTTTCATATTTACTTTAGGTATTTCCAGTCCTTTTGTTGACTCTTCCAGGCAGCTTTTGGTAAACCAAAAAAAAAAAATTGCAATACAGATAAATAATTCTATTAGAATATATTTGAATTTGCAAGCTAAAAGTTAGGCATTGAAGTTGCATATGCCATTATTGGGACTTAAAGGTACATCCCCAAGGAGAGTTTGGTGAACAACAATAATACCTTGTCTATTTTATGGTATGATTATTCTTTCCAGGATAAGGAACAGCTTTTAAGGATGTTTGTCTAGGTAGTGAGTGTCTCAAAAGCAATGGGAGGCTAAGACTGTTTTCATGTTAAAGTAAATATAAAATAGCAGCAGAGTCTGAAATGGACAACTCAAATACAACTTATAAATGTGATTTAAATAAAAGCTCATTTTAAAAATTTGATTAAAATCTGAGTTTGTGATATATAAAGCATCTTCTAAGATTTCAAGAGAGGGAAAAGGTGCCAATCACTACATCTCTCTGACACACACACAAAGAGAGATCTCAAAGCACACAGCACATACTAAGATGTAAGAAACACAAGTCAGATTTAAAAAGGTTTCCAGTAAAAAAATGCATTTTACACAAGCAGTCAGAATGAGAGCAGAAAGAGAGAAGAGAGATGAAAAAAGTACATTCCCAACTGTCATACAGGAGACATGGAAGAAGGGAAACCTTCAGACCATTCTAATGCTAAGTAACTTGTGCTTGTTGAGGACTTGAGACTTGGGCAGCGTGGGACCCAACAAGAACGAGTGGAACGAAAAATATATGATTGTGCCTCTGTTGAACTTTGGATGGCGAAAAATTGCCTCCCCCCCCCCCCCTGCAAAGCCAAGCTATAGTTTCAAGTGATCATTTGGTACACTGCAGCTTGTTTTGAATTGATTGGACAGGACCAATATATCAGAAGAAATAAAATAATTGCCTCTAGACCTGATATAATTTCACTGACCTGTTTTGGATTCTTGTCCTTTATCTCTTTACCTCTCTTTCTCTGCTGTCTTTTCTCAGGCATTGGGTTGCATCCTCTACTTGCTCTGCTTTAGGCAGCATCCATTTGAAGATGGAGCTAAGCTTCGAATAGTCAATGGAAAATATTCTATCCCACAAAATGACACACGATATACAGTGTTTCATGATATCATTCGTAAGTTTGTAAAACTGAGTGAACCACTTGTTTTTGGTCGAAGTTTAAAGTGCAGTGTTGGTTTCCTTTTACAATTATAGACAGCTATCTGCAAATTGTTTTTATAGATGTAATTTCATGTGAAATAACAGTACAATCAGCCCTCTGTATCCACTGATTCTGCATCCATGGACTCCACCACCTATAAGCCCAAAAACAGCAAAACGGCAGTGAGAGTAGGGGGGTAGGTGGGTTGGTTGTTCTTTTAGTTTCGCCCAGGATAGGCTAAGCTCTTGCATTTTGCCACTCTTTTTCAGAGAAGGGGATGGTTCCTATTAAGAATTAAGGCACAGCTCTCAAATTGACCCTTGGATAAGTTCACTCACCTTTTTTTTGGGTAGATTTGTTGACTTAAATTATTGTCGTTTTGCAATTTTCTTAGGTTCTGCTTTAAAAGTGAATCCAGAAGAGAGATTGTCTATTACCGAGCTTGTAAATCAGTTGCAAGAGATTGCAGCCGCAAGGAATGTAAACCCAAAGTCTCCCATCACAGAGGTAACTGCTATTGTGGATAAAATCAAATAGTTTGAACTTCTTTGTACAGACAGTCCCCAAATTACGAACACGATAAGTAGCTTTGGTTGTTTGAATAGCATAGGGAAGAGTCAACACCCCTATGATGTTTATTTTGCGATCTGTTCAGAAGATTTCACCTCACTTTCTCTCCCTGTGAGAATTGGATTTTTGAAAACTTTGGCTTGTTGTGGAAACAAGGATTACTAATAAACCTCCAGTGGATATCCCCTTTCCCCATGATAACTCTTCCAGGAGTGAATTGCCTATCCTAGGGATACATTTCTCTCACTTCCTGTTGTCTCACCCCGTTTTTAACTGTGAGTCATTTGTAAGTTGGATGTTTGTAACCTGGGGACTGCCTGTACTTCTAAGTGTTGTTGAAAAAGCATTTTAATGTATTTTAAAATATTTTATCATTGTGTTGTTTTTATGTGTTATTGAGTTTTTTGTAACTCGGGACTACCTGTATTTTGAAGACCTTTCCTCCAAAGATACAAGAGTAACTATAAGGAAATCATTGTAAATATGTGGAGGAACACCTGCCTTAATATTAATAATAATATCTGGCTTGTACATGTTAATCGTTTTTGCAGTGCTTGATCTGTTAGCACTTCAAAAGCAATCTGTTTTTAAAGTCTCTGCCCACAGACGTACAGTGTATCAAGTGTGTTTATAAAGAGGGTGGGGTTGCACAGAAAGATGGGGAAAAGAGCAGATGAATTAAAGCAACATTTTGGAGTAATGGTGGAGCCCCCGATGGTGCAGCGGGTTAAACTACTGAGCTGCTGAACTTGCTGAACAAAAGGTTAGCAGGGGTGAGCTCCCACTGTTAACCCCAGCTTCTGCCAATCTAGCAGTTCGAAAACATGCAAATGTGAATGGATCAATAGGTACCGCTTCAGCAACAAAGTGAGCTGACCAAAGGAAAGATGAGATATGTGCCTCAAATGTTAGACTTATTTCTGGATATATTTGACATGCTGATTCCAAAAAACGGTACCAGTTTTACCATATCAGTTCTAGTTTTTGAGATAAATAACATATGCCATCTACTAGTTGCCTTTTTGTCCCCCATAGAAAATCATGATAAATATATCTAAGGATAGTTATCCCCAGTGGCGCAGTAGGTTAAAGCACTGAGCTGCTGAACTTGCTGACTGAAAGTTCGCAGGTTCAAATACGGGGAGCAGTGTGAGCTCCCGCTGTTATCTTCAGCTTCTGCCAACCTAGCAGTTTGAAAAAATATGAGTAGATCAATAGGTACCACTCTGGCAGAAAGGTAACCGCACTCCATGCAGTCATGCTGGCCACGTGACTTTGGAGGTGTCTACGGACAACGCTGGATCTTTGGCTTAGACATGGAGATGAACACCAATCCCCAGAGTCGGACATGACTGGACTTAATGTCAGGGGAAAACCTTTACCTTTACTGTATCTAAGAAACTAGAGCAGATGTAGTCTATTCAATGCAATTTTCTGAACCAGCACCCCAAATAATCTGAAGAACAGGCCTACAACCAAGACACCAATAACAAATAAGTATAAATATACAATTCATACTTACCGTAAGGAAGTAAAAGATAAAGGAAGTATCTAGGCAATCTCTAGAAGCATCTTTGAGACTAAGTGATATATTTCAGCATAAGCTTTCATGAACTCCAATTGACTTCATGAGATGCAACATATTTCCTATACCATTCTTCCCATATTTTTGACATTAATTGTGTTTCTTAATAGGACCTGTGTCTTTTACCTTACTAGAAGCTTCAGCTATACCTCTTTATTTCTACTTTTTATGTGTGGGGGAGAGCGATGAAAGAGAGAAATATACAAATGTTGACACTGGAAGTGGCTTTTCTTCCACAGCTTCTTGAGCAAAATGGAGGCTATGGAAATAATGCTCAGCCTAAGACACCTTCGACTCAGGTTCCACAGAATTCCAAGCCTGTAGGGCAACTCAACAACATGTATAATGCAGGTATGTTGCTGAATAAAGTTGCTTCAAAAACTATGGACTGCATGGGACGCTACTGATCTTGTTGGATCCCTCTCGGTCCTTTCCACCAAGTAGACTGGGTAAAAACGATGAAAACTACAGTCCAGTGTCTGGAGGTACACAGGTTGCTCTCCTCTCTTCTAGGGATTTCAGATTTGCTTCATCCTTTCAAAACCATTATTATTATTATTATTATTATTATTATTATTATTATTATGTTTATTTATAATCTATTTTATCTCTCCTTAAGGAGACTCAAAGCAGCTAACATTAGAAGTATTGTTTTGTCAAAGGCTTTCATGACCGGAATCACTGAGTTGCTTATTTATTTATCGTGTCAGGGGCAACCAGACCATTGTGTTACATTTCTAACAGAACAAAACCAACAAACAGATTAAAAAAACACAAAGTTTGCAAGCTTGGTAGTCACTGAGTTGCTGTGATTGTGAATATTGCAATTGGCCACCTTGATTAGCATTGAATGGCCTTGCAGCTTCAAAGACTTGCTGTTTTGAAAAGACCAACACTAAAAAAACAGAGGAATTCTAGACAAGAAACAATCAGGACCAGCTAACACCTCCCAACAAAGGATTCCCCCAGGCAGGAAGCAGCCAGGCTTTGGAGCTGCAAGGCTTTTACATGCCAGTCAAGCTGGCCAATTGCAACATTACCTCTTGCCTCAACCAGACAAGAGTTCTTTCTCCCACCCTGCACATTCCACAGATATATAAACCTCACTTGCCTAGTTTCCAACAGACCTCACAACCTCTGAGGATGCCTGCCATAGATGTGGGTGAAATGTCAGGAGAGAATGCTTCTGGAACATGGCCATATAGCCCGAAAAACCCACAGCATCCCATTAAAAGTATTGCCACACAATTTAAAAGTCAGTTTCATCATATATGTAGCATGCCAATCTTTATCAGTAAAATGTAATATATACAACAGCGCTCAGACTATTTGAAATAGCATTGACTGCTAGATACTTGAAACTGGGCATTTTACCTGTTGCACATCATGAGCTAATCAGAGTCCTTTATGTAATTGTAGAATTTGCAAGGATATTGTTGAAACAAGACTGTAATTAATGTTTGTTATATCCAGTAATAAAAATATAATGTGGAATTCTGGAATCCTTTTGTCTATAATCATATGATTTATTGTGATTAACTAAACTACTTAGGGTTATAGAAGTTGTTTTCTAGTAACATTTTAGATACTGGTTAACTCATGGATGGCAATTTGCAATGCTTCAAAAAAAAATACTTGCTTCCTAATGGAATAAGCCTCCATCTTGAAATATATAAACTGAAATAGTTTTAAAGGACTTCGCTAAAGGTCAGTATAGAAAGAGTACTAAGGATGAAATACTTTGATTATAATCCTGTGTTCTTGATTTTAGGCCTTACTGTGGCGGAATGTGACCAGACCTATGCAGGGTTCTTCGATATTCTTAGGGGTGGGACAGAGAGGTTTTTCACAAATATCAAGGACACGTCTTCAAAAGTGATTCAGTCTGTAGCCAAGTAAGTACAAATATAGCTTTGTTGGTAAAGAGACCATAAACCCCCATCATTGTTTATCTCTCTCATCTGAATGGATGTTCGAATTGCTGTTATTTTGTGTGTGTTTTATTATTTTGTTTGGTTTTCCCCTCCAAATTGAACTGATCTTAAATCTTCTGGAAAGGTAGGTAAACAATTTGGTTAAGATCGTCTGGTGAATTCTCACTTTGAACTAGATTTTCTTTTAAAAGGGAACATTTGCTGCAGGGCAGGTTTGATTGGCTGCCTTCCTCCATTTGTAAACAATACATGGTCCAAGCCATAGAAACTGCAATTGCTGAGTCTGGTAGACTCATCATCTTATTTGGTTTTGTGTGTATTGTATCAATTTGCGGTGTAATTCTCAAACAGCTTACAACATGAATGATAAATCACTATATCTCAGGCCAGATTTGACCAACCTGGGTTGGTATGTTTAGCTGACAGAACTTTGGAATAAGGTCTACCATTTCAAATTGTCCTGTTGAAAGTGTTGAAGGAATAGAAGGTTTTAGAACAGTGGTTCCCCAGCCTTTGGGTCTCCAGGTGTTTTGGACTTCATCTCCCACAGTTTCTAACAGCTGATAAGTTGGGAGTTGAAGTCCAAAACACCTGGAGGCCCAAAGGTTGGGAACAACTGTAATCAATGACCTCGAGAATGATTATAATTTGCTTAACTGCTGTCTTACCTGACATGTGCCAGGCAGACATGAATATTGTCTAAGCATTCAGGTTTGAAACTTGGACATATTGACATTTGGGATTTAACTGGTGCTTCAGAGTGCTACTCAAATCTACCATATACAGGCAGTCCCTGAGGTACCGACATCCCATTTGCATACAACTCATAGTTAAGAATGTGGGTGAGACAATAGGAAGTGAGGGGAAATCTATCCCTGGGAAGGGAAATTCAGTCCTGTAAAAGTTATTGTGAGGAAAAGGTGTCTCCACTGAAGCTTTATCACCAACCCTAATTTCCACAACAACCCAAAATGTTCAAAATCCAGTTATCACAGGGACAGAAAGTGCGGTGAAACAGAGACACAGACAGCAAAACAAGCACCCCAGGGGGGTTAACAACCTTTGGGTCCCCAGATGTTTTGGCCTTCAACTCCCAGAAATCCTAACTGCTGATAAACTGGCTGGGATTTCTGGGAGGTGTAGACCAAAACACCTGGGGACCCACAGGTTGAGAACCACTGAGTTAGAAACTCGCAAAAAAAGAGCAGATAGACCTAATGTTTAGCTTGACTGTAGCCTGGTTGCTTACCACTTTTGAGCAGAAACCAATTGTGTTGTAATCTTAAGATCAACATAGAATTTTAAAAGATAAGGAATAGCCATTCAGTTAGGGAAGAAAAAAATAGTCCAGAAATAAATCTGGACGAATTTCAAAGCAGCTGAAATGCAGCTTGGAAATGTTCAGAAGAGTTTGCTTCTCTGATCTTGGATTTGGTTCTCATGTCAGATGGTGGAGCGGAGGCCTTGAAAGGCTTGCTCCCTTGTAGTTTCTACCCACCACCCCAGTAATTTGTACAGCTCTGAATCATGTGAGGATGTACTGAACATTTCATTCATTCTTAACCTACTCTCTGTGACCATGTGGGAAGACATGTGGGGGTGGAAATAGGGCTTTCAGAGCAATTCCAAGTGACTTGAGTTTCCACATGATGCTAGGATAGTCAGGGATTATTTGTATGGCTTTGGTTTCAATTTGTGGGTGCCATGCGGTTTTAGTAGAATCAGGGTTTTCCTTTTTTTTCTTGTGCAATCCTTGATATTTGCAGTTTAGTTTTTTTTCCATTTTGTGCTAATACAAAAAATCTCCCCGCTCACACAACAATAAAAACATCAATAAAATAAGCATTAAACTGCATATTACATAATTATAGAATTACTAGCCATCCCCTCCCACGCGTTGCTGTGGCCCAGTCTGGTGATCTGAAAAATAAAGTAATAAGAAAGAGTTGGTTTCCAATACATATAATTTCTTCATGCTTGTGGGTAAACAGTATTTCTTGCTGTTTCTTTGTCAGTGTTGATGTGGAGATTGTCTGGTTTGCCTACTCTGGCACATACAACATATAATTGTCCTTCTTTAGGGGTCCCTTTCAAATCTATGATACTATATCTGTGTATGTTCAAATCTTATATATTTATCGATATCTATGACTGGATATCTTTGTCAGGAGGGCTTTGATTACGGTTTCTTGCCCTGCTGAAGGGAGTTGGACTGGATGTCCTTAAGTATTTTCTGTTGATAATGGAGGTTCTGTGTGGGAAGTTTGCCCCAATTCTGTCTTTCGTTGGGTTCATTGTGCTCTTTGATTGTAGGTGAACTATAAATCCCAGTAACTACAACTCCCAAATGTCAAGGTCTATTTCCCCCCAACTCCATCCGTACTCATATTTGGGCATATGGAATATTTATACCAAGTGTGGTCCAGATCCATCATTGTTTCAGTCCACAGTGCTCTCTGGATGTAGGTGAACCATAACTCCCAAACTCAAGGTCATTGCCCACCATAACCTTTCTAGTGTTTTCCCTTGGTCGTGGGTGTCCTGTGTGCCATGTTTGGTTCAATTCCATCATTGGTGGAGTTCAGAATGCTCTTTGATTGTAGGTTAACTATAAATCCTAGCAACTACAACTTCCAAATGACAAAATCAATTTTTGAGTGATGATCATTCCTTGGGTTAGAAGGTGTCTTGTGGCCAAATTTGGCGGCATTTCGTCCAGTGGTTTTTGAGTTATGTTAATCCCACAAATGAACATCACATTTTTATTTATATAGATACTAGCCATCCTGTCACGCGTTGCTGTGGCCCAGTCTGTGTATATGTGTTTTGTGTGTGTATATATGTATATATGTGTGTGTGGTTTTGTGCATGAGTTGTAATGTATTTTTTATTTTTTAGCTTTTTAAGTCTCTTAAAAAGCATTGTTTTTCAGTGCTTTTATGAGTGATGGTCACTCGTTGGCCCGATAGGTGTAACGTGTCCAAATTTGGTGTCAATTCGTCCAGTGGTTTTTGAGTTATGTCAATCCCACAAATGAACATTGCATTTTTATTTATATAGATTGTTGGAAGGGTTTTCATAGACTAGTGACTAGTCCAGTCTCCTACTCAATGCAGCAGTGGTTCTCAACGTGTGGGTTCCCCAGATGTTTTGGCCTTCAACTCCCAGAACTGGCTGGGATTTTTGGGGGTTGTAGGACAAAACACTTAGGAACCCACAAGTTGAGAACCACTGCAATACAGTATATCCTGCTGACGTTTTCCGAGGAGTTAGATTTCTAGTATCTTTTTGAAGATCTCTAAAGAAGGGGATACAAAAAAATCAGACAAAACAAATCAAACACAACAAAGCAACAGAAATATTGTAGCATTATTTTTGTATACCCAGCAGACAGTCCTTTATAACTTACTAAGCCTTTCTTTTTCAAACCCTATTACTTCTCTAGGAGCGTGTCTACAGTCTATAATAAATAATAATAAACTTTATTTACACCCCGCCACCATCTCCCCAATGGGGACTCGAAGCGGCTTACATGGGGCCAAGCCCGGACAACATATTACATCAAAATAAAACCAAAACATAAACAACAAGCAACATCATAAAAATTACATAAAAATTATGTAATTAAGGCAGTTTGACACCACTTGAATTGTTATGGCTCAATACTGTGGAATCATGGGAGTTGTTGTTTACAAGTTCTTCAGCCTTCTCTGCTAAATAGTGGTAGTATTTTCCCAAACTACAGCTCCCAGTGGTGGAGATGGACCTTGGTGTTAGGCATTCAGAAAGTGAATATATTTTTTTCCATAGAGAAGTTTCAGGTTCAGTACTCTGGAATGATTATGATATCAGGGTTAAAGTAGCCAATCACAAGTCACCATACTTTTCTTGATTCATTTGTACATGTTACAGTAAGCCAAGACTAAGCACAAGGTCCCTTGGGCGAAGAATGGGTCAGCTGGCCCCATATCTTCCTCATTGGTAGGCATCTGGGGCTTGCATGCTAGCTGCTGTATTCTGTCAGAGGGAAACCCCTTTGGGATGGACTGGGACTGTTTCTTTCAAGTGGAACCTCTCAAGGGCAAGGTGAGAGATTGGGCACTTTATTTGAGATTCTTTTGAGACTCTGGGCCTTGTGGCACATGTGTGGGTGGGCTTGTACAGAGAACATGGGCAATTTGCCAGTAGTGGTAGTGAGGATTTTGCAGCAACGGGCTAAAACAACCACACAAAGCTACTAAATATATCTTGACTTTAGTTGTATCTCAATGATAGAATTATAGAGGTAGAACTCCAAGGGCCATCTAGTTCAGCCGTTGTTATGAAATTCCCAAGAACTAACTTTGGGATGATATTATTGACAGTACATTCTTGGGAGTATGTTTGTGAATATTCTTGAACCCAAGGTTTTTTAGCATGGCTTGTTAGTTTCTGTAGGGATGCAATGTTTGTATTGGTGATGAGACCTAGCCATACCTATATGACCCAGATATTCAAAACAGTCCATGGAGTGTTGTCGAAGACTTTCATGGCTGGAATCACTGGGTTGCTGCAGGTTTTCCAGGCTGTATGGCCATGTTCTAGAGGCATTCTCTCCTGATGTTTTGCCCACATCGGCAGGCATCAGGTCACGGTCCTTCAAACTGTAGGAGGGCCGGATTATAATTTTAAAAAAACATGAATTAATTCCTATGAACACTGCACATATCTTACTTGTAGTGCAAAAAACTTATTAGTATTTCAATGGGAAGTGTCGGTCTGCTTTTGGCTGATGGGATAAGATTGTTGTTGTTCTTGTGTGCTTTCAAGTAGTTTCAGACTTTAGGTTGATCCTGAGTGAGGGCCGGGTAAATGACCTTGGAGGGCCGTATTCGGCCCTTGGACCTTAGTTTGAGAACCCCTGATTTAAACAAACAAAAAGGAGAAAGGAAACATCCAATTTTTTCTGCTTCCGCTCCCCC